GAATAGTTGTTGTAGAAGATGAGAGCTTCAAGTGACCCATTATTACTCTTCTTTGTTTTTTTCTTATTGGCAATATGGGTTTGAGAGAGAGTTGAAATGATGACAATAAATAGAATGCAAAAAAAGAGATAAGAAGGAAAATTGAAGACCTTTGCTTTGAATTGAAGTTACTCTCATGATTCACATGATAGTGTTGGTAGAGTTCACCAAACCTCTCTCTCTCTACACTCTCATGCTAATTTTTATATATTAAAATATCAACAAATTATTCTTTGTCCAAAAAGATCACAACAATTCACTTTATTATCTATCTTTCAATCTTAAAAAGTATATATATATATAGGGCAATGTTAACTATGTTACAACTTGTAATCTCCATAGTTAAAAACTTTAAACTTTTAATCTCCATAGATCTTTGTCTTCGGAATCGGAGGGGCTATTGTGATCGAAAACAAAAGTAGAGAACAAATTGGAAGAAAATAAATACCACCATGTTGGACACTTGCCTTCTATATTTTCTATTTCGGTGTCTTTTAAACAACTAATTTAAACTAGGGGGGTTGTTTTGCTATTAATAAAAGAAAAAGTCATTTTGTGATATTTTTAATTTTATATGCCATTTAGATCCAGTTTCACAAAATTTCACTGCCGCTACGCTATGGAGCTCCGACCGGAGAAGAAGAGGAAAACGAAGAATTCTTCACCACCACCGTCGTTTTCTTTACTTCCCGACGAAATCACAGTCAATTACTTAGCCAGGATCCCGAGATCATATTACCCTAGACTCTCAACGGTTTCCAAAAGCTTCAGGTCAGTTATTTCTTCCACTGAGATTTACGCAGAGAGATCTCGACTCGGAAAAGTGTCTCTATTTCTGCTTTACGGGTAATAATCATCAATGGTTTAGACTCTGGATTAACCCTAATCGAACCCTACCCAATTCCTCTGTGACTAAGAAGACAAAGAAGATTAAGTTTTCGACTTTTACTAAAATGTATTTTGCTTACGACACAAAGCAAGGTAAATGGGAATGCTGTGAAAACGAGAGTGAGACGTTTATGAGTTTAGAATCCTGTGAGATTGAGAATGTATCGTACCGCTGTGGTAGCTATGGTCAATGGATGTTTCAGTGGTATGACATAAAGGATGAAGATTGGAAAGAGGTTAAATGGTTAGACTCACTACGAAACAAGGTCAGGAGGAACGGTGGCTCGAGTAGTAATAGTGTTTGAAAATTAGTTAGCTGTGGTGGGAAACTCTTACTTGTTTGGGAAGGGTTTGTGAAGCATAATTCCAATGATATGAAGAAGATTTGGTGCGCTGAAATCGTGCCGGAAAAACGCAATGGAGGTGAGGTTTGGGGAAATGTGGAATGGGTTGATGTTGTGCTTACAGTCCCCACATCTTCTTGCTGGCATTGTCTAGCTGTCTCTGTTTGATTGACTTGTGTCCAAGGTATGATCAATCACCCCAAGTTTCTTCTTTTTTGGTCAATCATTGCGTTAGGTCGATCACCCCAAGTTAGGTCTTTATTTTCTTCCCCTGCACCACATAGGTCCATTTTGGTTAGGTCAGTGGAAGGTTTGAGTTTATTTTTGTTAAATGAAAACGTTCATGCTTCATTTATTCGAGTTCCTACTTTCATTGAAATTGAGAAAAAGCAAAGCAATTTACGTTGATGCAGGTTTATGCGGTTCATTTCAAATGCAACTGGAAACTCTAAGGGAATATCTGAATCTGTTCGACTAACACAGAGCTCTTGATGATCTTTTCACACTTGAGTTGAGTTGTATCCTTAGAAAGTTAAAACCATCTTCATCAATAAATCATAAGTTATGTCTTTTAACCTTGTACGTTGTGTTGAATTCTATGTTCTGAGAAGGAAAAATACTAAAGCTATATTTAAATATGTTACAATTTTCAATCTCTAACATCTACAAAACCTTATTTCATTCAAATAAAAAAAATCTGCGAACCAAAACCAAATTTAACAGAAAGATTACAAATTAAACTTACTGTTTTTTTTCTTCCCACATCATCTCTCCACTTGAATGGGGAAACAAATACAACAAATCATCAATCAAAGAGTGAGAATTTTATTTCACTCCTCTTGTCTAACAACATACGGCGAAGAACTCATATCAGTACTATAAAACGAATCCTCTCCACCATTTAAGTAATTCTCTTCTTTCTCCTCTTCCCATTTCAATACCTCTCTCACATACTTAAACCCTTCGTCCACATTCGCGCGGTCCCTAGCCCGAGCTTGCCACACAAACAGTTTCTGACCCGTGAGAGATGCATAAAGAAACTTGAACTTCATCGCTACGTAGAAGTAAGCTTGGTAAGCTAGTGACTGCACGTTGCTGTTTGTCCTCACGGGACAGAAATCGCTGAACCAGTCGCAAGTGGTTAATGGCGCACGGTTTAGCTTTTCCTCAAAGAGATCGTACTTGTTTAGGATCAAGATAAACGGTGTGTCTTTGAAACACGGATGCTTAACCATTGACTCGAAAAGTTCTTTGCTTTGGATCATTTTGTTCTGGAAATTCACTGTTCCGCTGCTTTCCGGTGTGATGCTGATCTGATCGTAATCGCTTAAGCTGATGCAGAAGATGACTGCTCGTACATCTTCAAACATTTCGACCCATTTGCAGCTATCGTTCATCCCCTTTGCGTTTACCCGGATCAGCTGGTACCTGCATGAAAGACGATGGATAATAAGAACCAATGCTTGCGGTTCGAGTGTGTGGAAATTGAGCATTACTGATACATACTTTGGATTAGGAGGTGATACAGCGTCAGGGTTTTCTGGGTAAGTTTCAGACATTGGACTGTGTTCGTTGAGAGAAAACTCCATGAAAGCTAATCCATTTCCTTGTGTAACGCCTTCTGCGTATACGATATCACGCTCTGAAGGCTCGTACTCGTTGCTTGACACTTCCATGGCCTGTAAATGATGAAAGCCTAAGTTAACATTTTGAATCAATATGGAACGATAACAGCAGAAACCGTAAACCCGAGTTCCTTCCATACCCGACTCAAGAAGTATTCCGCAACATCAGGAAGGAAATGAAGCTCGTCTTTTCGTCTATATGTCGCTTGGATTGCCGGATCTTTCCAAACTTCTTCAACTAACGGAGCGTATTCGCGTGTTGCCGCTGGAAAAAACGCATCGAGATCACCAGTTGCTATGATGTCTAGAAGCCAATCCGAGAAATGCTTCAACCTCGGGTTCAACGTATAGACACACTGAGGTGTAGTGATAGTTCCATCGTCGTTCGCTACCTCACCTGCAAGAACATTCCAAGAAATCAAGATACTCATAAACAAAAACAAATCAAACTGTTTTGCAATGCAAAAATGGTACCTCCTGAATCTCCTTCAACGAAGCTTAAACCTCTCGAATGCGATAAAGCTTCTTCTTCAAACCGTTCTCTTCCATCGAGTAGGATACTGAGATATCTATACATATTACTTTGTACCATCAGCTTAATATCTTGAAGCTCTTCCACCGAAAACTTGTTCCCGTACAAAAACTTAGCCTGTTTCAATCAAACAAAAATTCTCGATAAGCAACCATTGAATCCGCAGAACTTTTTTTACTGCCGCACGTCTATTAAACATTACCTGTTTGAAGATAGTGCTAGTTCCAGACCCTTCAATACCGAGAAGTAGAAGCTTCTGAATCTTCTTATGCTCTATATAATTTGGAACGGTAACATAATTGCTCGGCGGTTGCACTATTCCACGAGGTTGTCCATGAGGAACAGGTAAAGAAAATAGCGCACACATGAACCTTGTAGATGCCTGTTTACGCAAAATCGAAGAACTTGTGATGCTTCACACAAGAACAGCCACACTTCATACAAATCTACGGAAGAATTATTATATTACCTTCTCCCAAATGTTTCCTCGGATATTATTCTGCCCTTCTTCCTCATAACGCCCATCATCGTATACCCAAAAATGAGTATCGCGTGGACACTGTACATTTGCTAGCTGAGATATACACACACACAAGGTTATACTTTATACTAGATTGTTTCCGGACATGTGACACTTAAAACAAGACAATATCAAAAGTTACCTTCAAAATCCTCAATTCAAGCTTTGTGATCTCCCGACCGTTAATATAAACTTCCGTGTTCCCATTGCTAGCGTGCGGAGACAGCTTCCCCGTAAAGTTCAGATTCGAGCTTATGACTCTGTCAGGCTTCTCTCCTTCCTATTCACAACCACATTAGTCAACAAACAAAGCGATTTCAACCCGAAAACACCAAAACCATTATATTTTTATTACCTTGCCCCATAGACCTGATTCTTTATCGTACCAATATCTACCCGGTTTCAACTTCTGAGGCGGCAAAGGAGAATTGAGCAATTCAGCCATTTCCTCAGGCTTCAATGGACACCCATTCACGATCAATTGCTCGGGCCTCAGCTGATTAGCTGCACACTCCTTTTCCGCCTTCATTATCTGTTTAACTTCCAAAGGACTAAGCAACCGTGCCAATACCCTTGACTGTTTCCCTAATTTAGACCGTTTCGATTCGTCAATTGCTTGACCGATGCAAGTCACACACTTTCTTCCTTCTGGCATCGAACCCATCGCCCTAAGAACGCAGTTTCCACAGTACTTTTCATCACACACAATACAAGTCTCTTTATGTTCCCATTTCGCTTTACCGCATCTAGAACACTCTCTCTTCTTCTTCCTCCTCCGTCTCTTCGGAACCGCAGTACATTCTTCGACTTTCCTCTCCCTCTCCGTCTCCGTCTCCACATCGTTCTCCTCCTTTGCAGCGTCTTTCCTTTCAATCCGATCATTATCGTCAACAGGTTTGAATTTCACAACCGGTCTCCGAACCCGGTTCCAATTTTGTCTATGAGCAGAGACTGGTGATACAGAAGCTGATCCAGATGATGATTCAGGGTTATTATGCAAAACAGAGACCACAGACTCAGAGCTAGCAGGCGAACCTCTTGGACTCTCGGAGCTCGTGACTCCTCCGGCTAAACGAGAAACCGGCAATGGGATCGGATTGTTCACTCGAGGAGGATTAACATCAACAGGTGAAACTCTAGGGATTTCATGTACCGGAGGTGGACCAGTGTACTCTAAAGCTATAGAGTAATCGAATTCCGATGGGTTTTCCGGTATAGGAGCTCCCGGAGGAAGCATCTTTCTCACCATTTCTCTCCAGCTTTCTCCTTCATCTTTCTCCATGTTTTTCAACAAACCAAAAAACCAATAGAAATTACAAGAAGAAAACCTAAAACCCAAATCAGATCACCACCATTAGCTTCAGAATCTAGAGCCCTTCAGACAAAACTGGTTTCAGACAAAAAAACGATAAAAACAAGAAAAGAGTTTAGATTTAGGAGTTATCAAATTGGGTTTATCGTATCTATTATAGACTATATAAATCAAAGTCAAATAGCCGGCAAGAATGGACGTTTCAAGAGAGACAATGAAACCTAAAAAGGAAATGGCATTTTGACAAATTCATGGTCAAATCAATTGTCTGAAGAAAAAAACAATTCAACATATAACCAAACCCACTTATAAAGTTCTCATCTTTGAACGCAGCCTAAACAGAGAAATTATCCGAATCTACTAAACAAACATGCACCTGATTACAGATCATTGTCGGCTGATAGATTAAGCAAATTCGTAGATTTGAAATTTCAAGAGAATGAAAGAAAAATAAGAAAAGAGTGAAGCCACCAATTAAAAGCAACGGAAGAAAAGTAAAATCTTTGTCAAAAGAAGATGAAAAAATTTACCTTTTTTTAAAGAGAGAGAGAAAGTGTAGAGAGAAACAAAAGGCTTTAGCAACTGAATCTGAGAATACGAACTCAAGACTC